GTTTTTGCAGGTTTTTAATAAGAATGTATTATTATATATAAGCTGTACCTTTTTGCATGGGGTCACAAATACTGGGGTTGATTTACTAAAACTGGAGAGTTCAAAATCGAGTACAGTGCTGCATAGAAACCAGTCAGCTTCCATTTTTTTTTTGTCGAAGCTTAACTGAACAAGCCTATTGGCTTCCATGCACAGCTGCACCAGACTTTGCACTTTCCAGTTTTAGTAAATCAAACCCAATGTGTATTTGCAGGACACATATCTGCAAAAAATGTAAATTGCTGCCCTAGCCCAGTAAATAGCAAACAGAATATATAAAATAAAATAATATAGTTATGACACTGGCATTGACATGATACAAATCACAAAACACAGATAATGGTCTATTGTGATAGTTTTATCATAGTATTTTAATGCACAAGGCAATTACATTTCACCATTATTTTTCTAAACTAAACTTAATTATATCCTGCAAAATATCATGTTTGAAAGGTACTGAGAAATTATATATCCCAAGATTTATTGCTTCATAAAATAATAGCTGTGATAATGAACTCACATTCTTCTGAATGCAGATACTAAATGGAAGCAATTTATTTTATTTAGAAGAAATACTTCCCAGTTGTACTATATTTTAAGGCGTTTTATTTCAGCTGTTTGGAACATACTGAAAGAGCATGAAACAGAAAGTGATAACTCTACTCTGAACTGAACAAAAATCATTGTGTGTACAGCTGTAATAAACAAGTGGCTTGGAAAAAAAAGGCTACAAAAAATGAGATAATTCTTTTAGAACTTAGTGTGCCTATCAGCCTTATACTGTAGAGGTAGCCCTTTTGCAAGATAAATGATTATGACTTTCTAATCCCTTTACCATACCAGCTGGGAATGGGGACCATATTTAGGGTAATAAATTAGCAGTACAGTGAGAAACTGATGTTGATAAATTATGGTTTAAAACCCATATGCCCAACTTGTGGCTTGAGAGCTGCATGTGCCCGTTGTTACTTATTTTGTGGCCCTGGAGCTCCAGCAGCCAAAAGTCTTTTTTTCCCCTGTGTAGGTACTTAATCAAAACCAGTCAGCACATGGAACAGTGTGAGAAGTATCATGAGGCTTATGACATAAGGGATTCCTAGCAATTCCTCCCTCCTATGTAGCTTTGAGATCTGTGAGAATTGTGTGTATGTGTGTTTGCTTCAGAGAAGGTGCTCTTTGTAGTACTATGGGGCTGAATTACTAAAATCTTTGTTAGTGCTTAACTGAACAAGCTGAAGTTAGGCTGGCCATATATCATACAATTTTTTTGAGAATTTTGTTTTAGATTTAGGCTAGCCATACACAATTACATACAATTTTCTTACAATTTTCTGACCAATTTCCTTTAGATTTACCTTCAACTGTATAGTGCAAGGGCCTGCCTAATTGGATACAACTGAAAATGTTGTTTGGGTTTGACCTCCTATTATATAGTTTTTAGTAAATCTAAAGCATAAATCTCAAGAAAATTGTATAATGTATGGCCAGCCTTACCAAAAGCCATATAATATGAGGACAGACCTAAACAACACTTTCAATTGTATCCAATTAGGCAGGCCCTTGCACTGCATAGTTGAAGGTAAATCTAAAGGAAATTGGACAAAAAATTGTATAGTGTATGGCCAGCCTTAGAAGCTGATTGCCTACCATGCACAGCTGAACCAGATTTTGCACTCTCCGGTTTTAGTAATCAACCCTTATGTGTACTATGAGACCTATTGCATACTATAGTATCTGCACTGCTGGAATCAGGGCCAGGGCGCTAAAGAAAGAATATTCATTACATTGACTACCACAGAAGTTTTTTCTCAAATTATTTTGTTTCAAATTGTGTTTAAATTATTCTGCTGTCCATTCCCTTTCTCTTTTTGTTTATATACTGTATATATTTTATAGCTTTTACAATGTATCTGGATGTAGGGATTGTTTAATGTGGTAACAAATATTATTAAGGAGACTGCAGGGAACAAAAAAGCAGGAGTATTAGCTTGCAAAAGAATTGTAATGCTAGTGGTCTTAAAGTGTTACTAAGCCCACAACAGTGCTTACAGGCATTAATAAGAAAAAGAGAGGAAGGCATCTCTAAGTGCAGTATTGACAATTTATTCAGTAAACAATGGAAATTTGCACTTACAAGATAAACAGTTAAAAAGGCTCATCGTGTGCTAATTAGATCCAGGTGGGACATCCAGCCGTCCAGCAGCAGACTATGCCTATAGGATCAGGAAGTAGAGTCCAGGATGTGCCTGTGCATCAAAAATGAAGCTTGGAGAGCAGAGTCAGATGTAGCAGGTGAAGGGGGTGGTAATGCATTTTGGAGCATGCTCAATAGGCTCCTTCTTCAGACCGCTAACCACTGGTCTGAAGAAGGAGCCTATTGAGCATGCTCCAAAATGCATTACCGCCCCCTTCACCTGCTACATCTGACTCTGCTCTCCAAACTTCATTTTTGATGCACAGGCACATCCTGGTCTCTACTTCCTGATCCTATAGGCATAGTTTGCTGCTGGACGGCTGGATGTCCCACCTGTATCTAATTAGCACACAATGAGCCTTTTTAACCGTTTATCTTGTAAGTGCACATTTTCCATTGTTTACTGAATAAATTGTCAATACTGCACTTAGAGGCGCCTTCCTCTCTTTTTCTTGTTAGTGCATTAGAGCCATGCTTCCACTCTAAGAAGAGCTGCCTAAGTGTTACTGCTCCCATCCATCCATCCATCCCTGATATCTATCTGGCACCTTTATCTCACAGCTACAGAGGTTGGGCTCCAACAAGCGCGCCCTATACAATATACATTTTCTGTGCTTACATGCATGCTCACATATCTTGTAGGCAACCCTCATCAGGAGTTCTTAGACCCTGGGATCACTCTTATTAAAGTGTTACTAAACCCACAACAGTAAAATCAGTCTGTATATGCAGTAAAGCATGCTTGTTATACTCACTGTGGAACCTAAGGGGTTAATCCTCTGCATCGTGTAAAAAGGATGTTTGATCATTTCTTCTCTGCCCCTCCTCTTGTTGAAATGTCCACGTGATACAGACTGAATCCATAGTCACATGCTCAGTTTGGGGTGTATTGCTAGAGAGGGTTTTTTTTCTTGGGAGAGTGCATGTGATCAGCACAGGGCCAATCAGCACTGTCCAGACAGAGGTCAGGGGATTTCCATCCTCCTATAAGCTTTAACCAGTGCTTAGCTGAAGTCACAAGACTGCTCTAACTGCTGACGAGAAAAGGTATTTAGCAGTTGATATTTACTAACATAATTGCACTTCCATGTTCTGTGGGAGACCAGATAGAGTGAATGCAGGGTCCTGGGTTTAGTAAAGCTTTAAGCAGCTTCTTGTAACATACAGTGGGGCAAAAAAGTATTTAGTCAGCCACCAATTGTGCACGTTCTCCCGCTGATGGTAGCCTTTGTTACGTTGGTCCCAGCTCTCTGCAGGTCATTCACTAGGTCCCCCAGTGTGGTCCTGGGAATTTTTGCTCACCGTTCTTGTGATCATTTTGACCCCACGGGGTGAGATCTTGCGTGGAGCCGCAGATCGAGGGAGATTATCAGTGGTCTTGTATGTCTTCCATTTTATAATTATTGATCCCACAGTTGATTTGTTCACACCAAGCTGCTTGCCTATTGCAGATTCAGTCAACCCAGCCTGGTGCAGGTCTACAATTTTGTTTCTGGTGTCCTTCGACAGCTCTATGGTCTTCACCATAGTAGAGTTTGGAATGTGACTGTTTGAGGTTGTGGACAGATGTCTTTTATACTGATACCAAGTTCAAACAGGTGCCATTGAAACAGGTAATGAGTGCAGGACAGAGGAGCCTCTTAAAGAAGAAGGTACAGGTCTGTGAGAGCCAGAAATCTTGCTTGTTTAGAGGTGACCAAATACTTATTTTCCACCATAATTTTCAAATAAATTATTTCCAAATCAGCCAATGTGATTGTCTGGATTTTTTTTTTCATTTTGTCTCTCATAGTTGAGGTCTACCTATGATGCCAATTACAGGCCTCTCTCATCTTTTTAAGTGGGAGAACTTGCACAATTGGTGGCTGACTAAATACTTTTTTGCCACTGTATTCCAGTCTCTGATTGTCTCCTTTACACCCTGGTCACATCGGGTGCAATTTGGCATGTGATTTGCATGCCATGCGACTTGCAAATTGTATGCCAAGTCGCACCCTATTGTCCGCTATTACAGCGATCATATCGGTGCGGTTTCAACTTGGTCAGAGCCGCACTGATTTCTAAAGTGGTGCATGCACTACTTTTGTTGCGATTTGCACAGACATCTGAGTCAGATGTCTTGCAAATCGCAACTGAAATTGGCAGGTCATCCAATTTTGAAATCGTGTGACTTCAGTGTAAGTCGCATGATTTCAAAATTGGCTTTGATGTGACTAGGGGCTTAAGCCTCAGTCTCCAACTACTCTTCCTAGCATTTCTACCATTTATAACCATCTTCTATAACTGGATAACTGTGTGTGCTCTCCAGCGTTCCAGGAAATAAATTGCCAAAGGAAGATCAAGGGAACCAGGGCAGGAGTGGCCTAAAGTTAATTCTTCGGGGATGCAGCCCCCCTCAGATGGGGGAAATCAACCACTGGAAGAAGAGCAGACAGGTGGCACAAACACCTAGTGCATTATCCAAGATTTATTCAAAGGTTTAAAAGACAAAAACATACTCACAGACAGCATGTATAAAAAGCTTTTGCATAATGGAGATGGCCGCAACAACGGGCAAGGTGTTCCAACTGTCAGTGTGGTCAAAATGGCGGACGTGTTTCGGGGACAAGCTTTAGCTCTGAGGAAAGGGACTTGTCCCCGAAACGCGTCCATTATGCAAAAGCTTTTTATACATGCTGTGTCTGTGAGTATGTTTTTGTCTTTTACACCTTTGAATAAATCTTGGATAATGCACTAGGTGCTTGCACTACCTGTCTAACCATCTTCTATGTCTTATAAGTCTTCAGTCTTTGACAGCCTTCCATTGCATTACAAATGCTAAAAAATACTATGGAACCCCCTTAATGCCACCTTCCAGTGGCCTTGTAAGTGGGCTTTAACCGCCTCCCACCCGCCATATAAGGAAATGACGGGCACAAGGCAGTTCTCTCATTTTGGGAGAACGTCATATGACGTCCTCCCACTCTAACCACACGTGCGCCGCTCCGGGGGCTCACAGCGTGACAATCGGTGGTGCGCTGTGTCCCTCGGGCACAGCAAATCACCGATCAATGATCATCAGGGCACTGATGATCAGTGTGCCCTGATGATCAGTGTTGCCCCAGCAGTGCCACCTGTCAGTGTCCATCAATGCCAGCTGTCAGTGCTCATCAATGCCACCTGCCAGTGCCCATCAGTGCCACATCAATGCCACATATCAGTGCCTATCAGTGCACATCAATGCCACATATCAGTGCCCATCTGAACTGTCTTTCAATGCCAACTATCAGTGCCAATCAGTGCCACCTATCAATGCCAGTCAGTGCCACCTATCAGTGCTGCTAATCAGTGCCACCTATCAGTGCCAGTCAGTGCTGCCTATTAGTGCCGCCTATCAGTGCCATATATGAGTGCTGCCTTTCAGTGCCCATCAGTGATGCCTGTCAATGCCCATCAGTGCCACCTACCAGTGCCTCCTCATCAGTGCCGCCTATCAGTGCAGCCTATCAGCGCCCATCACTGCAGCCTCATTAGCCACATCAGTGAAAAAGAAAAATCACTTATTTACAAAATTTTATAACAAAAACTAAGAAAAAAACATTTTTTTTTCAAAATTGTCAGTGGTTTTTGGTTTGTTTAGCAAAAAATAAAAAACCCAGAGTTGATTAAATACCACCAAATGAAAGCTCTATCTGTCTAAAAAAAAATTATAAACATTTCATATGGGTACAGTGTTGCATGACCACGCAATTGTCATTCAAAGTTTGACAGCGCTGAAAGCTGAAAATTGGCCTGGGCAGGAAGGGGGTAAAAGTGCCCGGTAGGCAAGTGGTTAATGGCTCATTCCTCCATGGATAAATATGTACAACTGCTGAAAGTGAAAGCTCACCTTTATTGACACCCCTTATATGAGCTACAAGGTTGGCAAGAGGTTAAAGGTTTGTTTCTAAATGATAAGAGAAAAGTGGTTTAGTAACTGTTACTACTCACTTGCAGCATGGGGGACTAGTACATTAGATGCATAGAATTTGTAGGTTCTTCCTGGGCTCATGTGGATTTCCTCCCTGAACTCTGATTTCCTTCTACACTCCAAATACATGTTAGTAGGTTAATTGGCTCCCGCCTAAATTGGCCCTAATATGTGTATGCGTGTATGTATACATGTGCATTGGGGACCTTTGATTATAAGCTCCTTGAAGACAGGGACTGATGTACATACAGTATGTAAAAGAACTGCGTAAATTGTTGGCGCTATAAAAATACCCCAAATTAAGCAAGTGTGTGTATACTGAATACTGCAGTAAGTATTTTAGCAACACTGCAGAATTAGCAGTATCTCCTTGTCTATGGAAGGTTGACAATATAAAACAATGACTATACTGTATTTCACTAGAGCAAGACTGTATTGTAAGCAAAATGCATTTATTTTGTCCATTGCATTTCCCTTTAATTTTATATAATCAGTGAGAAACTTTCAAAATAGTAAAATCTCTCTTCTTCACATTGTTCTGTAAATGTTATATAATATTCATCCTCTGCACGTTGACTTGCATCAACTAAGCTCTCCTAACAAGCTTTTTGTTTCTTTACCATTTTTCCCTCTGCCTTACTCTCTAAATTATTTTGTTTCAACATTCAACGTGATCTCATTAGGGCAGGGGTAGGCATCCTTTTGAGCATGGTGTACCAAAAAATGTTTACAAAGAAATTAAGAGTGCCAGTTATGTATAAAATGTCAACTTTACACACTCAACCATGAAAAGGAATGTTTATACAGTAAATGCTGTAAACTATTTGAATAATAGTAAGAAAACATTGAGCTTTCAAGGATGGTAAATAGTAACTTACCCCTTTTACCAGAACACATGTGCGAACATATGTGCTGTGAGGCAAGTATGGTAAGGTTGAAATGAATATGTCATTCAGGGACGTCTGCAAAATATACAGTTGGAAATGAAGTGTAAGTTGATAGTTGTCAGCCCTCATTCCTGCACCTTCACACCTCATATAACCCCAATTGCTGCACCTTCACACCTCAGATCACCCCAATTGCTGCACCTTCAGACCTCAGATCACCTGAATTGCTGCACCTTTATACCTCAGATCACACCAATTCCTACACCTTTACCCTTCACCCCGATACCTGCACTTTCACATCCCAGATCAATCCCAATTCCTGCACCTTCACACCTCTGATCACCCAAAATCCTGCACTTTAACACCACAGACCAGCCCAAATTCTTGTTTATTCAGGCCTCAGATCAGCCCCAAATCCTTCACCTTTACATTTCAGATTAGCTCCAATTCCTGCACTTTCACACCTCAGGTCACCTCAATTCGTGGACCTCCAGACCCCAGATCAGCACCAATTCCTGCACCTTCACACCTCAGATGACCTCAATTCCTGCAATCCCAGACTTCAGATCAGCCCCAATTCCTGCACCTTCTCACCTCAGATCAGCTCCAATTCCTGCACTTTCATACCTCAGATCAGTCCCAACTTCTGAACCTTCACACCGCAGGTCAGTCCCAATTTCTGCACCTTCACATCTCAGGTCCGTCCCAATTTTTTTGCACCTCCAGACCTCAGTTCACCAGAATTCCTGCATATTTACAAGCCATATCAGCCCCAATTCCTGTTCCTTCAGGCCTCAGATCAGTCCCAATTCCTGCAGTTTCCCACCTTAGATCACCAAAATACCTGCACTTTTAAAAATCTGATCATCTCTCATCTCCAATTCCTGCCCACTTACACCCTATCACCCCAATTACTTCACCTTCACACTTCAGCTCACCCCATATCCTGCAGTTTTTACACCTCATATCAACTCCATTCCTGCTCCTTCACACCTCTAATCACCTAATTAATGTACTTTCACACCTCATCCTACCCCAATTCCTGCACTTTCACACCCCAGCCCACCCCAATTCCTGCACTTTCACACCCCAGATCAGCCCCAATTTCTGCTCCTTCAGGCCTCGGATCAGCTCCTATTCCTGCAACTTCTGGCATAAATGGACCAGGCCGTTTCCATGTATATGCTCCAGAAATGAACACCAGCCAATGCTCAAGTCAAGACAGCACCACCTGTACCATGCAATAGAATTGGAGAATTGAGTCCCAGTTCCTGCCGTTCCTAATTCTTTTTCTAAAGTAGTAGATACCGATATCTGTTCGAAAGTTATAGTTCTCAACAGAAGTTCTAAAGTAGTAGTTACCAAACTTTGTTTTAAAGTAGTAGTTCCTTCTATTTGGATGAATAGCTGCGGCAGGAATTTGCTGATTCCTGCTACTTTTTTTACACCTGTGAACTGCTAGCTGCAGCCACCAAGCCTGTACAGTAGACTTTTTCATGACAAGTTGCCAGCAGTCATAGCTATTTTGGTTGCTCACACAACAGGCGATTATCTGTGGTGATCTCTGCTGAATGTACACAAAGTGTGTGTTCGACAGCCATCACTGAGTGTGTGAATAGTCACGAATATCTGCAGCACCCAGTAACCTGTTGTTATAATGTACTGTATGGGCTTGGCGGCTGCAGGTAACTGCTCACTGATGTCAAAAAACAGTAGCAGGAATCAGAAGATTCCTGCCACTGCCATTTGCACCGTGGCTAAATGTCCATGTGAATGAAGCCTAAATTAGTAGTTCCCAATAGCTCTTATGTCAAAAAAGCCCTTAAAACCCTCCTCCCTCCACATGAAATCCTTATTTGCATGAGTTTATAAAAGATTGCTATGGAGATTGCCATTTGAAGATAAACCTCTCTGGCTATATCTCCTCAAAGTGAGCCAGGCACATGAATGCTGAGAGAGAGAAATGTTCGGAGGGAGGGCAGGTACACCTATAGTAAGAGCCTGGCCATGAGCTGGCTCAGGCTAAAAGAGTGCTGTACCACAGAGGAGGAAAAATACTGAACATAATTACCCTTTCAAAGTGAGAACAAGCAGCCTGGGAATCAACCTTGACACAGCTTTAGGGTGGAGAGAGCAGCAGAGGAACTGACACAGCGAGAATTTAGCTGGGCGGACACCAACCGTTCTGCTTCTTCTGTATGCAGTCACTGGCTAGCTTGATTGTGTGGGAGGTGGGTCTCCAAGACTCCCCTTGCCATCCTTGATGCTGTTGAATTCCACCTCTGGCACTAGTGCCAGGGGTTGCCTACCCTTGTAGTAGAGTAATCACAGATGCTGAGGAACAATATAAGACAGTTAACTAGTTTAGGCTGTAACTGAGATCACTAGTAACTTAAAGCTGAACTCCCATCACCAGAAAACATTATGGTTTATTTACTAAAGCTGGTTCACTCAGAATATGGTGCAGCTGTACTTGGTAACCTAACCTCAGCTTGTTCAATTAAGTTTTATCAATAAAACCTGGAAGCTGATTGGTTTCCATGCAGAGTGAACCAGCTTTAGTAAATAAAACCTAGTTTTATTCAATTGTGTGTTATTACATCCTTGTTACAGAACAGCTCTTCATTTTTACCCTCAGAAGCTCCTGTAGGACATAAGATTGTAGAATAGGTTGCCTTTTCTAACTAAGAGGGCACCTTTTTCTAGTAAACACCACAGGTCACAGGAGCTTGCTCCACATGAACATTGAGAGCACTCGTAAATCACTGACCTCTCCCCCCCCTTACCCTGTAGATGATTCCAGGCATACTGATCCTGATGCCTCAAGATACCCTACTCTGATTCCCTCAGGGAGTGTCCTGTGCTCTGTAAATGGCTGCTATCTAGTAGCTCAGGACAAGGTAGCTTCATGCAGTAGAGTAGCAGCCTGCCTATCTCCACTTTGCCCCAGCATGTTGCAGCTTTCCCCTTCTGCAATTCTTCAGGAGAGCTCTCGAGTGAATAATAGGTGGAATATATTCTTTGTGTAGGAGTGCTGCCCTATATTCTAATCAAATATGAGAATTACTTCACATATATACCTGCAAAATATACATTCTTTTTACATGTGTCAACAAAAAATATTCAATATAAGGTACATCAAGTGCATCAAAATATTCACTATAAAGTTCATCAATTATTCCAATTCAAATTGTATGTATACTGTGACATGGGGGATGATTAGCTCCAGTGGTAGATGCTTTTCAAGTGAGTTCACACTAGTCAGAAACTCTATTTAAAGGCCTGGTAGCCCATGTTTATTAAAGGGCAAGAAACAAAAACAAAAGTCCAACATAAGCTTTCCCACATAGGGATTTTTCTCCAGTTGTAAATACAAATAAAAAAATACCAAGCCTCCTGGCTACTCCTCATTAGCACTGCTGGTCAGAGTCCCCCAGACCACTGGCTATTCTGGGCACACAGCCTTGGCCTTCTTTAACGCACACAGCTTCGAGCCCTTTTGGTGCACACAACATGTCTCACACAGAGCCTCTCAATGGCAGCCACTGGTCCAATTGCCTCCCCCCCTGG